GTTACAGTCTTTTTTTTTTTTATGTAAATTTTGTGACATAACAAGGAAGGAACAAAAAATAAAGGGATATTAAGGAGATGGAGAATGAAATAGGAATGGGCAAGTGCTGGCATTTATTATGAATCTCAGACATTAATTAGATGCTGATGATATTTTAGTCGGTGTAAAAATTAACAGTATTAAATCAAGTTTGTGAGTGGGTGCTGCTTAAACAGAATTGGAACAAAGTTTGACTTCTTGAGCACGTATTTAATATGGGATTAGTTTGTTAAGTTTGGTAAGTACTATTTTTTGTTGGATATTAATTTAATGTCATAATTGTGATAATAAGTAACGACATTTATTGTGAACCTTAACCGTTATTTGACACTTTTGATTATTTTATATATTAATTATTTTATTTTAAAATTCATAAAGTTTCACGATTTTTGTTTACATTCCTTTTTATATTACTGAAATGAATATTTCAAAGTTGTGTTGAAAAAAAATACACAAATTAATATTTGGTGGTATTATAGGCTAAAATTGTGTTAATTAATTTATATTATAATATTATTTTTTATATGTAAATTTTATTCCTTACATATAATTTATCAAGTTGATACTGATAAATAAATACTAATTTATTATACATATGAAATATTAGTTTCAAATGAAAAACAATTAATAGGAAAATTAATTTGTTATATTATTTGAAATATTGTGTAACCATTAAAATATTGTCAAGTCTTTAATTTGAAAAAAAAATGATTTGATATAATAAATGAAAAAAAAAATATATGAAAATAGTATAAATACTTAACTCAAAAAATGGAAAGTAAGAATAGGATAAAGATATAGTTTCCAACTTTCCATTTAGATAAATTAAAAGAAAGAGAAGAATCTGCATAAAAATATATTTTCATTAATATATATTTGAGAAAAGACAACAAAATTATTTTTAACAAATCTTATTTTATTATATATATATATTTGTATTTTAACAGCACAAAAAGGGGTATAAAAATCAAAATTAAGTTTCTAAGTACATAAGAGAGAACAAAAAAAGAATGAAAAATCATATACATTTTGTTGCATGTTCTGGACTGCTTGTGGGCGAGCACGCATGTCAAAAAGAACTAACAAAGGCTAGCCGGTGATGATTTTGGGTACAATTTTTTGGACCAAACTACAGTAAATAACAAGATGTAACAATTGTCCATTAGACGTGGTACAAACATGGCCTGACAAACTTGATTCGGAGCACAGATAGAGCTTGTTGGGTTTTAATAAGAGTTAAATCAATGAAAATTACACCGTTCAACTAAAACGCCAAATTGTTCGATTGTCTTCTTATTCTCGCATTGTGAGTTTTTATTCTCTACTCGTGAGAGTTTCTTATTCTCCACTCGTGGGAGTCTATTTCAGTTCTTAGTGTTTTGTGTTTTTACTTTTTTAAGTTGGTACGTTTTAGGCTACATTTTGTGTAGTTCTTCTAACTAGATTCAGATGTCTGACTGGTTTATTCGACTAAATAGTTGATTTCTAGTGCTTCTGTTATTGAATTCTACTGTTCTGAAAAGAAAAAGGAAAAAAAAAAGCTAGAACAATTGATTTCATCAAGTAGTTTTTAGAATTTACAGTTCAATTAAGATAAATAAATAAAAGTCAATTCGAGACCCAACATGCACTTTTACAATATGATGGTTTTCTCGCCAAATTATGGTAATCTTTGTATGCATTCTTTGACACTCATGGGTCTTTAGGGGATGGATTCGAAATATATGACGATTTTCAAATAAAATTATCGTAAATAAAAAATGGATGGATTCGAATTATCTAACGATTTTCAAATAAAATTATCGTAAATCAGCATTTATAAGACCACAAGTTGCACTGCAGTGCTTTATAGGATCAACCTTGCCACCGGGGCACTTGAAAGATTAAAACTATTGTAGTAAATTGAAACTTATAGAACCAAAAATTATGGGACAATTCATTTGGGTCTATTTAAAATATTTTACAAGCCATGTAGAGTCTAGAAAAATATATTTATCAATGCAATTGTAAGAGGACTGATTCATGTTGATGTGACAGTAAGAAAAGACACATTCTATTTGCATTTGGAGTGAATTGTGTTACTTTTATGTAGTTATATCTATGTCATTTAAGACTTGACTCTATTTACATGTCATGTAAGCAAAATGAGACCGAAATTAAGATTGGTGGAGGAAAGTTTGGCCACTTTATTGAGGTAAGGCATGTCCGCTCTTACTGGGAGTCTGGGTCTACTTGAACCACCTTTTAATGTTGTAACAATATTTCTTTTAGAAAATGGAAAGTTAATTCAGACACGAGTTTTTGGTTTGCTGAATAATATGGAAAGTTTTTCGTGTTTATGGATAGTCCTTTCTTAGATGATTTCAAGAAAAATTAATGATATACATGGGTTGTTGGTTTGCTGAATAACACATATATGCAGTGGCTTTTCAACAACATTATAACCTTTAGTCCCAAGCAAATTGGGTAGACTAGACATGAAACCCAAGAGAAACACAAAACGACTTGTACCGAAAGGAAGAGA